ATATAAGGTGTAACGTTTACCTTCGACCAAACGCCCCCCAGAGGAATCCCAGCGCCCCCTGCTATCCTCTGAACGCCCCCCCTAGGCCTCCCACCTGACTGATATTAAATTGTCTCATTATGGAGTGAACTGATTCAGCATGTGCATCCTCATCAGTGCACAATAATGTAAATGGGACTTTTAGATGGAAATTGCTTTAACACAGAAGGTTTATTTTTTTCAATCAAGTTATATTTTGAGATGAACATTAGTTTAGAAAACGACTGAACTGTGCCACTTCATTCGTAGCACAGTTCAACGATACCGCCCCGTTGAGAAACACTATTTTAGATGCATGAATTTAGGAGATATTCTGACTTTTTAAGTTTGCACCCCGAGTAAACATGGCTACCAGGGCCTTTTAAAGCTGCTGACCTCTTGAACTCCTCCAGCGGGCTGGTGTGGGGGGGGGAGTGGGCCGGCGAGAGCGGCGGCTCCGGCTTCAGGCTGCTGGAGAAGGCGTGCAGATGTTTGACCAGCAGGCGCACCACCAATACGTGCTCCTCTGATGGATTGAAGGGCTCCTGGAAACACAGCCAGTCACAGCGATCCACACCACCAATCATCTCCACCAGCTCCACAAAGCAGCCAATCACAGCCCCGCCCTAAAGTGAGGCCACATGCCTCAAACCCTCAAGACTCTCCGACTCTGGATCAGAACGTGTTTTAATAACAGAACATTTAGTTTTTATTTGGTTTCTGATGTTTGTTTCAGATGTATTCTAAGAATCTGTCGATGGTTTTGTTTTAATTTAATCAAAGTCCAACAGGATGAGCAGTGTGACCTCACTTCCTGCTACAGCAGCATGATGCAACACTGGATCTTCCGCAGCAATCAGCCATCCCATCTGCAGCCAATTACAAACACATGAACTCATGCAAAGATGGTTGTTGTTACTGGCATTACATGCGCTTTACAGTGACAGCAGGAAGTCAGAGAAACGGCCATGCATCAACGCAAGCAATGCGCCCAAAGATCCAAAGCTCTGCTGCAGGACTGCGCCTGCTGTCGAGGATCCTTCTCTGCACAAACCATGAAGCTGGACTGGACGGCGAGATAATACTCGCCCCTACTCACTGCACTGCAAAAACACAAAACTTTACCAAGTATTTTAGTCTCATTTATGCAGCATATATGTCAAAATAAGGCAAAACTAACTCACAGGTAACTTTTCAGCAAAATATAGGAGCCTGTTAAAAGTTAGTAATTCCTTCACCAAAACGTTCTAGTTCCACTAGATTATTTTGTTTGTAACATGGGAAACAAATTTTGTTACCAGTGAAATTATTTGTCAGTTGAACTAGAACTTTTTGGTGAAATAATTACTGACTTAAAATAAGCTCCTACATCTTGCTGAAGTTACCTGTGAGTTATTTTGCCTTATTTTAAGTAAACTAACATATTTGCACCAGAAACGAGACAGAAAGTACTTTGTAAGATTTTGTGTTTTTTCGTCTACAGTATCGCAAAAACATAAAGACATATTCATGTCATTAAAGAGTAACTAAACCCCAAATAGATTTTTTTGCAGTTAAACTGTCTGAATTGGTTTTTATGGTGCCATCTTTACATTTCTCTGCAAATTCTGACATTTTTGTGTAAATTTGATTAATTCTGATCTTTATGGTTGATGAAGAACCCGGCCAATGTTGACTGGGTTCTTTGAAATACGCATGGCCTGAACTTGGACCCGAAATCTGCAGATTTACTGAAGATTCAGGAAACAGAAGCATGATCTGGTTGTTTTAAAAATTCTAATATTTTCAGATAAACAGAGCTGATTTTCTGAAGAATCTTTAGCTACGTTTCTGACCCCTTGCCATGCAAATTTCAAGCAAACTTTTAAAACATCGAAGAAAATGCAAATTATGTGCGTTTCCATCTGCTGATTTGGAGTCAACCAGCCGGGCTACGCACAGCGTGATGCCATCAAATGTTGACTCTACGCATGGCTGGAAGAAGCAGGAAGTGTAGGTTGGACCAATGACATGAGTTGGAGATTTGAACTTTGACGTCTCCCAGTTTGCTGCTCGTGGTAAGGCTCAGACTGTCCAGTAGATGGCGGCGTTCACCAAGTCAGAGCATCTTTCCATCCTTGGTTCATCGACTCTTTTAGAAAAGCCAAAACCCACAGCATAAAACCTTTCTGTAAAATTCAGGAAACTGTCTTCCATTTTCATCAACTTTTCCTAATGTGACACTGCAAAATACGGCAAAAAAAAAAAGCTTGTTGGATTTTTGCTCTCATTGCATCAGTTGCTGCAGATTATTATTCATATGGTCACGTTTTGAGGCAATTATATGGAATAACTATTTCATCGCTATTTGATAATATACTATTTGGAAACAATCAAAACTGACAAGTCAAAATAGCTTGAATATATTAAATACATTTCCAGCTATCATTAATAGGAGCAACTTAAAATGCAACAGCAGCAGGTCTTTATGGAACGGTGCAGCTAAAATTCCTTCACAGCGTAGAGTTGATCTGGAGACTACTTATTGATTACCTGTTAATCACCTTTTTGGATAGCAAGACGTGGTTAACAGGAGATTATTTTTCAGAATGTGAACCAGCTAAAACTGAACTAGAGCAGTTCTAGAACAGACGTTTACATTTTTATGACCGGTTTTGGTTTAATTTCTGCTCTGATTGTTTTCTTTTGTCAAATGGCCTTTTTTAGAGTCTGTTTACTCCAGTTAAAGATTAATCAGTCCCTAAATTAGTTGATGATTACTTCACTAATCGATGAATCAGATTAATCGTTTCGGCCTTGCTATCGGCAGAAGCTATGCGTCGGCATTAAAGCGTGGCGGGCCGCGAGCCGCTTCCCCTCATGCAGCAGCAGCAGCTAACACATGCTAACCTAGCATGCTAACCAGAGAAGGATCCTGGACCGAAGCTTTACCTCCAGGAGGCCCCAGGGGGGCGCTGCTGAGTGAAAAGGTAAAAGTACTTGGTAGGTGTGGAGGGTCCCAGAGCCAGGAGGGGCGAGGGGTTGGCACGGCATGCTGGACATACTGAGGCGGTACTGCAGCAGCGCCAGCTGTTCACCCGAAGGAGGGTGGGGGACAGGGGGGACACGGGGGGAGGGTGGTACAGAAAGGGGGAGGGGGGGGGCACCAGAAGGAGAGCAACCACAAAGAAACATTTGGCCGAAAATATTCAGGAGGAAAAAACACAACAGGAGACAAAAAGAAGAAAATATTGACTGCAGGAACAAAACGATTTGTCTGTTAAAGGAGAAAAACCAGAAGAGTCCAGATCCGGTTCTACCAGAACCCGCTCCAGTCCTACAGGCGGCACCGCGATCCGGTCCGGTCCTACACAACCCGACCAGTCGGATTCCAGCCTGAGGACCGGCGCTGGACCTCCGTCTTCCCTGTGATGGAGACGGACAGACGACCTTCACAGCTCCTGAAGGTCATCTGCTTCCAGTTTTTATAGAAAATCCTCCAATCAGAATAAAACCAGCTTCACTGTGCAAAAACAAAATCTGACCAAATATTTTTGGTCTAGTTTCTAGTGCAAATATCTCAGTACAACTTGTTTTCAGCAAATAATTTCTAAATATCAATTTTAAAACATTCTAGTTCCACTAGCAGATTATTTCACTTGTAACTTGGAAAAATGTCTTTACCAGTGAAATAATCTGCCAGTGGAACCAGAACGTTTCCATGAATATCAGAGTTTTTGACTTAAGTTCTTACGTCTTGCTGAAAACGTATTGTAACTTAGTTTTGTTGTATTTCATGTGTAATAAGACATTTGTGCTAAAAACTAAAATACTTGGTCACATTTTGTGTTTTTGCAGTGCAACTTCAGCATCCGTCCCTACAGCTGAGCAGAACCGACTCCAGCTGGAAGGTTCTGGGTTGGGTGAACAGTGAAAATGGTCCAGAACCTTCCAGCCGTTCCAAGCAGATGAAGTTTCCTCTGAACGGAGCAGTAACAGATAATTTCCTCTGAAATACGAAGCAGAGCTGCAGCAGAGCAGCAGCCAAACTTTCAGAGCAGCAGAGTCGCCATTAAAATGTTTATTTGGCTTCATTTTTAAACTGGAAACCAGCAGTCAGTTTCTGCTCCGAGAGGAAACGTGACAGTGGGAATTGATTCCCATCCAGGTCGCCATGCGTGTTGTTGAGAGGAACTCCAGCATCAAGTCTGAACAGATTCACAGGAAAAGAAGGATTTTTATCTTTACTGCAAAATGTAACTGGAGGCAGTGGCTGATTTCAGACCTTAGTGGTGATAAGATCAGCCGAAGCGATCCATCGGTGCAGCCAAGCAGGAAAACCTCCAGAACCAGCAGAAACCCTGTGTTTTCAGATTCTTTATCGTCTGTCCTGCTCTTTTCTCCGCTCAGCAATTTGATGAGTTCAGTTTTGTAGTGATTGGTTCAGCTGAGGCCGCCTGGATCAGAACCGACTTCAGGCTGAAGTTCCTTCCTGGATTTCAGGTACCATGCAGCATGCAGAGGAAGACAAGCGACAGGAACATGCCCAACTCCTGACCGCAGTAGCTGCAGCTTTAAACCGCTAAATGATCTGAAGCAGAGATTTCTGCTGTGCCGGCCCAAAGACCCAATCCGACCCGGTCCGGCTCAGGGTGTGAACGCAGAGGACAGGCAGGATCTTCTCTGCAGCTTTTCAGTTGAATTATTTTACATCAGCAGGTCAGAATCAGCCAATCGACAGCCAGTATGCAGCGTTGCAGCGCAGGATGCAGGGAGGCGAGGGAAAGCGCCTTACCTTTACCTGAGGAGACTGCAGCTTCTGGTACAAGTCCAGGGAGTAATGATGGAGCCAGATCTCTACAAACATCTGAAGACACAAAACGCAGAACTTTAGAGGGAAAATCATCCAGAAACTGATCCGACCTCAGATCGGTCCCGGTTGCTCCGTCCTGCCTCTCTTTCTGGAGGACTGCTGAAGCCACACTGGGTTGTTTGTGAGCATAAAGTTTAGCAGAAAATAAAATGTTTTCTTTCACTGCCACAAAGTTTCAGCAGTAGTTTCTTTCAGGACAAAACATTTAAATGCAGCAGAAATCTGGAGATTTTAATTTTTCCAGCATGAAAGCTTTTAGCTTGAAGAGACTTTAGATCCGAAAGATTCATAAATTTTCAGACAAAATCATAAAGTCTAGAACAACTGCTTGTTATTCTGACAGGTGTCTGCTTAATAACTGAACAGTTGTATTACTGTAATGCAGTTAAATGCGGTGAGAAAAGTTAGGCTTGGTTCACTTTCTGCAGCCGGTTTACATCAGAGAATCAATTCTGGTCAGAAATCACAATCGAATGTGAATACTGGAGCTGAATTAAGCTTATTAATGCCAAAATCTCTGATGAATAATGATTTATGAAAAATGTTTTCCAACCATCTTTTCGTCCTCACTGAGTGTTTAATTTGAGGAAACATTAAAGTCTCTTCATCTGTGAACTTTGGCTCAAACGATTAATCATGACTAATCAATTATTGGAGAATGAAACCCTTTGCCTCTAAATCTGTTCTACCCTCAGCACCACCTGGTTCACATTCTGAACAAAATACACATTTAACACCTTCGCTACCAGATATTAATCAGTTAATCAATAACCATTTCTACACTGATGTTCAGCAGAAAACCTGAGCTTTTCTCATGTTGTGTTTCATTATTTGCTACAAATGATCAAAAGTTCACAAAAAATTGATGATATTGACTTTTAGACCATAAAATGTTTGTTTCCTTATTTAAAAGAAGAATTTATTTATGTTTATATGCAACTCTTAATGTATTCTAATATTGTTTATTAAAGGCTTAAAGAAAAAAATCTGCAGAATGTGATTTTTTTGTCTGATTTATCAAATAATCATCATAATAATCGACAGATTAGTTGATCTCTGAAATATTCAGGGCGCGGAGGAAGAGCGTGAGACCCGTGTGCGGACGCAGCATCGATTCTCACCTGCAGCAGCGTCTCGGACCTCCAGATCTCCTGCGCTGCAGGGTCTGCGTTCACCGACGGCTGGTGGAAGATGTGGTGCTTCAGGAGGCTCGGGCTGTGGACGCCGTAACCCGCAAACGACACACTGGAAGCTCTGAGAGAAAATTTACCAAATATTTAAAGTACTTATCATGTAGAGCTGCTGAGATTTTTCCTTTAGCCAGAATATGAAATAAACCCAACATAACTGGCCTCCCACATAATCATCATCATAGAATTCATCACTTCATTTACTTTATTTATTTATTCCTTCTTTACCAGTTCGTACATTTTCCTCTTCGGGAAACTGTCATTACCATTAATTCTCCTCCTGACATCTTCAGTTTAACACCTGTTGTTTCTAAGATTACTCTATAAATAAACTCAGGTGTTAAAAACTGTTTAACAGTCACCGTGGCGATGGAGCCGCGACAGAACCTCTGGAGTCAGTGAACGGAGATGCAGGAACACTTCCTTCGATGGGCAGGAAGTACTTGAGGTACAGGTCGACCAGCACAAAGTATGCGCTGTCTGTGGAGCTGCAGAGCTGCGGCTGAAGGCAGTTCTGGAATCACAACACCAAGACAATCGATTATATTGGAAATCAATAAATAATCCAGAGAAACTCATCCAGGATTTAGTGGCTCCGATTCCTGCAGCAGGTCAGACTGACAGACCAGAAGCTGCAGCTGGAGATCTGACTAGAACCAGGAGGGTAGAGACACCACCCGGTTCTACACCACCCGGTTCTACACCATCTAGTTCTACACCATCTAGTTCTACGCCACCCGGTTCTACACCATCTAGTTCTACGCCACCCGGTTCTACACCATCTAGTTCTACACCAACCGGTCCTACACCATCTAGTTCTACACCATCTAGTTCTACATCACCCAGTTCAACCCCACCCGCTTCAACACCACCCGGTTCGACATCCCTTCACTGAGACTTTAAACTGCTGGTAGTTTGTAAATCAGTGAACAGATTAAAGATCTGCTGCTGCTGGATCAACCTGCTGGTTCTGGTTCTGTATCAGAACCCTAACCCCAGAGAGAAGCAACATTCAGGTTCCAGAACAAATTTCCAGAAAACTGAAAAACAGCTGAAACATTGAGCGCCTTCAAGACTAAACCCAGCTGGTTAGAGCTGCTTTGAACCATAGCAAATTAAACAATGATCAATAATCTGATGTGCAATGACTTTATATTTTTGTGTTTTTATAATGGAAGTAGGTCTGTCACGATAACAAATTTTGCTGAGCAATTAATTGTCTAAAAAATTATTACGATAAACGATAATATTGTTTCAAGACCAGTTGACACTGATTTAATGGAAATGACTAATAATGCATGTGATTTCCTGCCATAGATAGATACACTTTATTTTCAAAAGAACACATAACACTGGAACTGATAAACTAAATTAACGAAACAAAGAAAAACAAAAATAAAATGGATTCTCAGTCTCCATTAACAAAAAACGTACTTGAATAAAAACTAAACAACATAAAGCCAAAGTGGAAATAAATACTGCATTCAACCAAAAGAGTGCAGATTATGAAGTCTGTATACTATATTGCCCTTCAGTAATCACTAGATTTAAATAGAGAAGACGGGCACATCCAACTACCTAGTGCAATAGTTCACACTACACGATTTTTTGCCCCTATTTTCCAATTATGACAATCTTAGATCGTTGGCCGATCTATGATTGGCTGCTGATTTCGTAACCGATCATCCTGCAGTGTGATGTAGATTGTCGTGGCTGCTCCGATCTAAATCAGGGGTTTTTCCCCGACTGGGAGCTTAACGCTGAATCTGACAGGTAGCCAATCAGAAAGCCGGATTCTCGTCCTGCTTTCTGAGGGGAAATTATGAGGGGAATCCCAAACAGCTGACACAGTGCGACAGGAAGTCCAGCGGACATTGGAAATATGTGGAAACATTAATATCTGAATGTTTCCACATTCAAATATTAATTTCTACATTTGCATTTCATGCAAATATAGAAATGACAAGGGGAGGAGTTGGAGCCAAATTGCTACCGCAGTTGATAAACCCGGTAAGTTTTCAGCTGTTCTTCGTTAACGTGACATAAATAGGTTACAATGATTTTCATTAAGTCAGGACTTTACGCTGACTCTAGCCACATGCATCACAGGTAGATTCTAGCAAAGCATTGCTTAATGCCTGGTTTTAAAATTAGTTAACTGAACTTGTAGCCATTATTTTGCGCCCATGTGGCTGGAAACCACACAGCACGACGAACCCGATCGAACCGTTATACTCAGGATTTCTGTCGGCTAATGTGTCTCAGGTTTTGAAAATGGGCCGACAACTCGTGTGGTGTGAGCTGGACATTAGGAAATGAGGAAGGGAGGGTCAGTGGAGAGACCGTAGCTGAGCCTCTTTTCATTCAGTGTCATCAACAGAAAGAAAAAAGGCAGGAAGAGACGATAAAGCCGATAATTAAAATGAGGTCGATAGGTTTAATTTATCGTGCGATTAATTAATTTATCGTTTATCCCGACAGGCCTAGAAGGAAAGAATCTTGAGTTGCCTTGTTTCTGAAATGCGCTACACAGATAAACATGATTGATTTGTTGATTATAAAACGTAACTATTCTGCCTTGGGATGGAGAAAAGCTCCTCGCTCTGTTCATCTCCAGACAGAAACCTGCAGGCTTTCAGCCAACATCGACTGCGACTCCCTCCAATACACCAAGATCCCAGATGAAGAAAAATAACTCCAAAGCATGATGCTGCCACCACCAGCACCCACTGTCTGCCCATAACAGATTTCACCCTCAGCATCAGGAAGACGTCAAATAATGTTAGCGTAAAATTTAGAAGATCTTTTTACACAATCTCTATAACAGATTGTCTCTATTTGGTCTACAACAAACGATTATTTTAGTAGTCGATTATTCTACCCATTAATCAATTAAACATATTCTGCAAATTTTTCATTTAACCACACACCCTTATTTTAAACTAGATTAGGAATACATTAGAAGATTCAAACAATGTAATTTGGTTTTAAATTAAAAAATACACATTTTGTTTCCTCAAAGTCAAAATCATAATTCTTTTAGTTAACTTTTCATCATTTGTAGCAAATAAAAATCCTTCAACTTGAGAAAAGCTCCTGGTTGCTGCGGTAGCGCAGCGGTTAAGCACATAAAGACGCCTCACCTGACCCGGATGACGACCTTTTACTGCATGTCTTCATACATTAATCAATTAATAAAATGATCATTACTTGCAGCGCTAATGACTACATGGATTTTGATGTTATTCAGTTTTAAATGAAATCAAACGTCTGAAACAGGATAAAAGCTCCGAGTTCATCAGCGCAGTGATGCTAAACTCACCCTGGGAGCGATGAGGCAGTAGGCCAAATTAAACATGAAGAACTCAAAAGGATCTGCAGAGAGTTGAGGAATAAATTCATTTTCCAGGAAGTAATTTCCTCTCTGATGATCACTAAGAACAATAGCAACTGAAGTTAATGTGAGGATGAGCAGGAAACCCTCAGCAGCTCCTGTAAGGATACTGAGAGCGACGTTCAGCGTCAGGACGCCCGGCAGCGGGAACTGCAGCTTGTTGTGGAACAGAGGACAGTCGGGCAGAACGCCCTCCTGGATGCAGGCCTTCACCGGACCCTGAACACACACATTACCAAAAACATTATGCTCATATCAACCACAGCATCTTTGCATACAGGCGCGCCTGCAGCTGTACAGCAGTAAACACTATGTGCACCTTGAGATTTTAATCAGAGTATAAAAAAAAGATATTGAGTTGCTGTTGTTTTTGAACTGACCCGCTGACCCATCGATTCTCCATTGGCAGAACGCGACATCTTCCACGCTCAGAGTCACGCTAGACTGGGAGAGCTGAACAGTTAAATCCAGTTTATCGGATTTAACTGTTAAGATCTTTTTGCAGAATATCTACACTGCATAAAGTAAAGAGATTCTCCTTCTCTTCTCAGAAAGAGAAGAGATGAAAGAAACGTTGCCACACATCAACCTCTGGAAGTCTCACATAAACCAGCTTCCTCCTCCACAAACGGGTCAGCTTTGCTTTCCTGTCTTTATTATTTAGTGTAACATTATTTTTAGAGTTTATATGTTATTTTTATAGTAATATTTGTATCAGACCTGCGGTTTGATCCACCATGCGCATGGTGTCCGTGTGCATCAATTAGGGTTTGGTTTGTCTCGTTTATGCGCGTTGAGGATGTGTCTGTGTTCATGTGGATCAGGCGTGATGATAGTTTTGTGCGTAGCGTCCGATAATATCCTGCAGGCGCCCCTGTTTTTATAAACCACAGCATTATGCTAATCTAAAGTAAAACATTGTGTGTATAAAGAAAAACATTTGGGAAAATGCTGCACTGATTCTGGCATGTCAATAAATCAATTTTATCAAACAGATTTCTGGTTTTTGAAGTTTTGTCTTTTAGAAAATATGGAAAGTTTTTCTTCTGTTTCCATAGTTCAGAGTGACGTCATCGCCAGGGCGGCCATTTTGTTTGGTAAGTGCATTTTTTTTTCATTATAATAAAGTTAGAATATTGTAATAATACAGTCATATAACAAAACAGTCAAAATAATGAGAACATAAAATTGTAACATTAGGAAAATAATAGTAACAAAAATAAAAAATTAAAAGTGAAGAAAGTTGATCATCTAATGAATTTATACTTAGACTTGTCTCAATTTCTATTCTTGTGATTAACATTTTATATTTTAACAATTTTGTAATTTTTATTTCCACTTTATTTTTATGGTTTTTGTGTTTTAAATTTATTGGTCTTCGAGAAGGTAAATGTTATGCCATCATCAATATACAACTTGAAAATTATTTCAAAATAAGAATATCATCATTTATCGCAATAATTACTGGAACAATTAATCATCTAGGAAAACTTGTTACTGTGACAGGCCTAGTGATACTTTGCTATAAGTTTTACAAATAATATGCAAATACTTTTAGCACATTAGCATCTTGCTCTCAGCGTAGCAGAGAACAAGATGGCCGCTGCCATGATGATATCATTTACGACACATTTGTGAATTTACAAAACAAGCTAAAAAATTAGATAAAAATATAATTTGCAGTCGTTGGAATTAAATTATGGAACGATGAAAGCTTTGACTTATGAGAATGTAATTCATTACAGGTTTTCAAGAAACTGGTAATATTTGATGATTACTAGGGTAATTAACTTCAAATTGTCTTGTTTTCTTTCCTTTTATGTTTCTGTTTAGTGATTTATATATAAGAAGAATTAGGTTTTGGTTTTTCGTGTATTGTATTTATTTGTTACGTGATAATTTAGTTTAATTTGATGTGGCATAAATATGAGCCTTGTCCTGCTGCCTGCACCTTTTCAGTCAAGTTGTTTAAATTGTTGTGGTGTTTTGAAGTATGGGTAACTTATTGATGAATGAATACATTTTTTAAAATCTAAATGAAATTATCAGTAGCAGAACTTTGAAATAATTGAGGAAACAACTTTGATCCACACGGGCTGAGCGTCGGATTGTAACTATCAAAGATTTTTTTCTCTTAATCTTAAGACATTTTTTCTGGTAAGAATGTAAAGTTATTCTGCTAATACTATGACTACAGTCTTGTAATTAAATAAAAATTATTGTAGGCCCTATTACTCCAGTGTCAAACTCACAGGAGGGATGATAGAAATAAAAGTGACTTCTTGAAAAAAAAATTCTTTTTTGGAAAAGAAACAATTTGATTAAATTGGAAATCGGATCTGGTTTGATTTTATTTTTCAGCCTAGATTTCGGTGTTTCAGCCTGAAATAAGAAAAATCTCCAACTCTTCCACCATCAGCAATTTGATGAAAACTCTGTCGTACCGGGAGGTAGTTGACAGGAACTTCGTATTTGTATTCTTCTGCCTGAAGTTTGTACACCAGCTTCATCATCGGGCCACTGAAACACAGAGGAGTGAGAAACCCTTGTTTTATTCTGAAAGGACATCAGAACCGGTTCTACCTTGGACTCAGGAAGTCCAGAACCAGGTTGAACTCGTTGCTGCGCGAGTGCAGCAGGCGCAGGTTCCAGCCGGAGATGACGCCGTCCAGACTTCCAAACACGTTCTCCACCACCCAGGGGAAGATCAGGTGCAGCTCCTGCAAAACATCCCAAAATTACTTCACGCACGCAGGAACTGAGACGTTTGGAACGAAGTCAATATGATTCAAAATCCAGCTGTGCTCTCTGGCTGCAGCCTGTTTAAAGGGGGCTTAGGTATGGTCCATTTTATAGCCCAATCAAATAATTATGTCACCTTCCGTTGTTATTAAAATGCTGCATTAGGATGACATGGCTTAAAAATGAAATTTATTAATTTTTTTCTTGCTTTATTTTCTAAAAAAGAAATTACAAATAAAATACTTCCTAAAAGTGGATTTTATTTCATTCATTCATTTTATTTCATTCAGTCTTTCTGTGAGTTTTACGACAAAGTATCAGGACAAGAGAAGTTTTGTTTAATCAATAGAAAATAGTCTTAATATTACCATAATAAAGGGGAAATTTTACTGGAACATCTTAAAACTCTCATTTTAATTAGAAAAGAGCTTCCTGAGTTATCAACAAATGACATGAGCAGCTCAGTCCATCTGGTTCTTTCCTTGAAAAATTTGTTTGCTCAATCGTTTCAAACTCCCGCAAATGATAATTTAATCCTAATGTGTTAAAAGATTATTTCCTTATTTGTAAATCCAACATCAAAGTATAACTTCACAAGATGCTCAACATTTTTCCATCTAATCTTTCTGTTATAATTCCAGATCTTAGAAAAGCTTGAGCTGGCGATTCTGATTTTGGCCTCTACAGATCTTTTTTATCTGAAATTTTGCGAAATACAGCAAGAAAGTTGCTGAGTTGACAACAGTGGAATGACTATTGCTAGGTTTCAGACCCAGATGATGCACAAAATTAAGATGGGGTTCAGAAATGGATTCCTCTGGTTCAAACCACAGCGAAATAGATCACAGCGAGTTGCTAACGCCCTAAATGGGCCGGTAATGATGAGTTATCTTGAAAAATACTCGTATATTTGGGATATGATCCGTATTATCTCGGTAAAAAAAAGATTTCTCTTATAATCTTGAGGGTTTACCCACATTGAGTCAATCCACATCACTAACTACCTGGAGCTGCAGAGCTCATATTTTACAATGAGCCAGAAGAAAGTTTTAAAAAGCCTGAAGAACCAATCATTTAGTTTCAGGTTGGGTCTCATTTAGGATCAAAAGTTGACTTGTTTCTGCCGGGTGAGTAGTGAGTTGTGCTATTTTAAGTAATTTTATGATAGTGATGCTATCGCTAACAACGAACTAACCTGTTATTTTATGAGCTTGAATCTCCTGGTAAATCATTTATTTAGCTTCTGTAAACCCAAATTCATGCTGGATTTGAACATTAATGTTGAGTCGCTGCTGGATTCAGGTCCAATGTAGATCAACGATTCGCTCCAATGTACAGAAACCCCATTAAAAACATGGTTGGTGGCTGAGAGAGAGAGTGTGGGGAAATACTCACTATGACCTTACATACGAACGCTTGTCTTTCTAAGTAACTGTCCAATAAAACATCTGAAAATACAATTTAAACGATGCGACTGTTTCCTGTCAGAAAGTCGCTGCAAATTCTGCCGTTGTTAGTTTCCGCACCTCCTGCTCTTAGCTGTAGATCGTTGATCCACTTTTCTCCTCTTTTTTCGGTAAGTTTTTTAAAGTCAACTCCCTTGTGACCAACTACCTTCGAAACACGAAAATAATGTTCATCTTTCCTCTTTTCTAATGGTTGGAACAACTGTAAAGGACTCAGACTTTAGACAGTTTGAAGCTGGATCAACAGATTTACTTCCTGACCCTCATCTGCAATGCCTGACGTCGGTACTATGCAGGGGTGAAAGTAGGGGGGTACAGTCAGGTACTGCGTACCCCTAAAAGATTTAGCGGGGGTTCGCAGAACCTGCAAGAGAGGAGCGGCTGTAAAGAATCAATGGGTTCACTGTGCAGCCATGAGTTCTCCCACTAATCAGCCGTGACTGATTAGTTTTTCAAGAACAATCTAAAACACAACTGAACCAGCTGCTACAAAATGGGACTCACCCTGAATGGTTAACTGAAGGGCGCACAATCCTGATCCAGAAGGATCCCTCAAAGGGTTCAGTCCCATCCAACTATCGGCCAATAACCTGTCTCTCTACAACATGGAAGCTCATGTCAGGCATCATAGCGGCTAAGATAAGCGGACACATGGATAAATACATGAGCACGGCACAGAAGGGCATCGGCATAAATAGTAGAGGAGCCAAACACCAACTCCTTGTAGACCACACAGTTGCCCGAGACTGTAAAACCCGACACACCAACCTGTGCACCGCTTGGATTGATTACAAGAAAGCCTATGACTCAATGCCACACACCTGGATCATTGAATGCTTAGAGATGTACAACATCAATAGGACTCTAAGAGCCTTCATTGCAAACTCGCTACAAGTACCTGGGAATACAGCAATGGCAACCTCGATGAGGTCACAAGGAAAGGAGCCACAGCCAAATACC